GAAAAGATAGGAAATCTACTTTATGAAATACAGCCTCAAGAAAAACCACTGAAAGGTCAGCTGTTGGTTGGTTTCTACCTGATGGCAATGAATTTGAGTTTTTTGAGTTTACAATTATTGGCTCATAATTTTTCAGTTTCGGAGACAATGACAACTCATTGGTTTCTTGCCTGCTGCTTCTGAAAAGTCAGAGCATAGTCTAACTAATTCTTCTTTGGAAGTAACACTTTGCTTTTCCTTAGCTGATTTCAGTGCTTTTTTGGGTCATCTGATTTTGGAAAGTTTGATTACAGTATGTCTTGGTGATTTTTCTTTTGAGGTCTGTCTTGTTTAGGATTTACTCAGTTTCTTGAATTCATATCTTCTCATTTCCCCCAGTACTTCGAATGTTTTCTGCTCAGCAAATCATCAGTAACTTTTCTGTTCTGGAATTTCATTCACACAAATTATTCCTCTTGATGGTGTCTGTAAAAAGAGCAAGGGTCACATGGGGACAGCCACATCTGACCTCTACCAACTCCACAATGGGGAACTGTCCCTGTCAACAACATTAACGAACACAATACCAATTCCTATGAGATCAGACATGTCTTCCACACTCCTGCACCTCTTTCTACTCATCCCAACACCAATCTTACTATTTTACTGGATTCAAAAGCTGATGTAATAGCTCACATACCACATAGAACCATATTTGGGAAGTCAAAGGCCTATAATTCAAGTTGACAGCAAGATAAAATCATTTGGTGAGAATAGCTTCTGAAATGTTCTTGCAGGCATCTCAGCCTTGAGCCTTGTGACCTTAGGCCAATGTTACAAATTTCTCAGTCCTGCCAATTTTCTCTCCCCTAGTTGTAAAAAAAAGTGGGCAGAGGCTCCTAGTACTAATTCCATGGAGTAGCAGTCCCATCTCATGTCAGATCTCTGGTTCTCTACAGTGGGTATGGGTACTGCTCCCACAAGCCTGAGAGGTCCAAAAATCTGTGGCTCCAAAGGATGAATTGAATGTTTTTGCTTCTTCTTTGCTGATGGTTCTCCAATTCTGTGGCTGGATTCACTCAATTTAATGGTGAGATTAGCCAGTCCCTTTGTGGATTGGCAAAAGTAACCAATTCCCTTGAGAACAGGCTGACATGCCAATGTCACATATTCCCATCCATTCACATGGCAAAGTCAAACCCAATGCCTAGAAAAGCCTTAACACCACAGTGTTCTACATAATTCTTATGCTTTTTAAATTTTTAGGTCCTTTTTTCCGAATTGTTCTTGTGACAGATTAGTGTTGATGACTTTGTCTTCCATATCACTAATTCTGTGTTCCATTGATCCAGTTCTCTTTTTTTCTTTCCAATGTGTTATCCGTTTCTGAAATTTTAGTCTTAATATTCAGAATCTCTCTCTCTCTCTTTTTTTTTATTTCTAGTTTTCCATTTATTTTGCCAATTTGGTCTTGGATATTTTTTTTAAATTAGTGTAGAGTTTTGGGTACATCTTTTGCGTCCTCAGACTTGTTCTTAGCCTGATGATGAAAGGAAATCCCAATAAAATTTCCTCCTCTGAAACTTTTTTGTTCTGTATTTTGGTCACTTGTTTGTGCCATCATGTCTTCTCTTATATGTATGTGTGGTATAAATTTATCAGTTGCCTCCTAGGCAATATGGTATTGTTGTCTTTTGATATATCTCATTAAGGGTTGTAGACACACGATGCAGTGCATTATTTTGACAAATGTAGTTTTTCACTTCCTGTCTTCTGATGGATGTGGTAGAGTGAGGGTAGAGGTGTTTGTACAGTTCTCTCTTGTTAGTTTAGGACAGTTGAGGGCAGACTGGGCTGATGTTTGCTAATCTTTTATTGTTCAGGTAGTGTTGGTCTTTGCTCTTGCCCAATGGGCAAAGCTGCTGGAATTGTTTGTGTATGTGGCTGGGTGATATGAACACTGTTGCTGTCTGTTGACAAGTGGGAGAGCAAAAAGAAAACAAAAGCGACAATGGATAATAATTTTTTAAAAAATACAGGTAGAGGTACTAAAGAAAGGAGAGAAAAAAGAAAGAGTCAAGATAATGGAAACATGTAAAAGAGAAGAGTAAGAAGAAAGTAATTAAAAACATATATAAGAGATTGGGGAAAAGGCAAACAAGAAAGAAAACAAAGGAGAGATCTTAGGTATGCTGATAGGCCTGGCATCTGATCAGTGCTCTTACCACTACTGTGGTGGGTAAGGCAAGATGTCTAATTTGGGTTGGAGTTTCTGGTGGCCTAGTGGTAAGAAGCAGTACTACAATCCCAAAGGCATGTGGTTCAAATCCACCAGCTGCTCCGCAGGAAAAGGATGGGCAATCTCCTCTCTTGCATGTGATTAACTGCCTCTGAAAACCCACTGGAACGTAAGCTATGGGTCGGTTCTGGTACACAGCAATAACAACAGAAGAAGTTTGGGATGAGGCATCAGGGCAGTGTTTCTGTTTGTCTGAGAGATAGCTGAAGGAGTGACACTCATCTGAGAACAGAGCCTTCAATTGCCCTAGGGAAAGCGCAGGACTTGGTGTGGGACCAAGGGCTGCATCCCATCTAGCCTAGAGTACGTTAAGGTGTGGGGCTTTCAGCCTGAGTTTCTGCTGACCTCAGAGGTACCTATGACATGGTCAGGTGTTTTGCTTGACCAGGGATAATAACTCTACAAGTTCAGAGAATGGATTCAAGAAGGGCATCCAATCAGAGATAGCTTATTCTCTTAGTGGGAGGACATGACAGCACATGAGTCTCCAAATGTGGGGGTGGCGTGCAACTGGTGCCAAATCCATATGACTTCTCCTGAGACCAGCTGGGTAGCAGATCAGATAGCTCACTGCCCTAGCCTTGTTAGGTAGAGTGGATGCACTTCCCTATATGGGGAGGGATGTGCACCTGACACTAAACCTTCAGAAGGCATCCTGCCGGAGACAGTGGCTGCCAACTCTGAGATGGGCAAGGACAATACTTTCTGCTGTCGCCAAGAGGCAGAGTGCACACAGATGGCGCAGCTCCAGGTGTGCACTCAGTGTGCGCCTGGAGCCAGATCCACACAGGTATCTAATTAGCTGCCATTTCTTTGTCAACTCAGGAGGGTCTGAGATCCTGGCCAAAGATAGTGCCTCTTTCATTTTAGGGGCTGGTACAGTCCATCCACATCAGAAGGCAGAGGGATCATGTTTGAAGCGAGAGGTAGAGTGTTTTGGAGCCAGATACATAATGCCGGATAGGCTATGGCACAAACCTGACCTCAGACAGAAGTGGAGCAGGGCCCGTACAGCAGTGCCATCCACTCAGTGAATGGATGGGAGAGTCCCTTCTCTGAGTCCAGGGATGGTACCGAGAACAAGGGGGAGAGGACACCTTTCGTACTGTCAACAAGCCGCAGATGGGGGCACCATTGCACCTGCAAGCATCAGAAAATAGCTTGCAAAAAAATCTCAAATGGTTTCACTGAATGAATTGTGTTCATAATTCACCACTCTCTGTCTTCTTATTTGAAGTTTCCCTTCAGTTTCTTCTCTTGGTTACAGTCTGAACTACTTACTTCCTTTTCTTTTCCTTTGAAACTCAAGATTCCAGGATTATCATCTGTATCTGTTATCTCTGTTTATTATCTGTGTCTTAGTTGTAGAGGGTTTGGGCTATTGCCTGCCTAGTCCACTATCTTCCTAGAACTCTAAAGTATATAATCTTTGCTAAATCAGACCACCAAGTCTTTGCCTCGCTGCCCAGGGTGGTTGGTGGGTTCAAACTGCTGAGCTTTCTGTTAACTTTCTGGTAGCTGAACTTCACCAGTGCTCCGCCAGGTTTCTTTATATGATGAGAAATTCAAATACAGATGCCCTCCTTCCAGCCTATCTATAAATCAGACCAGCAGGAATGAGCCGCCCAAGAGCAGAACAAAAAAGGATTTTAATTTTAGACCATTTTCCATGAGCTATGAGTTATAAACATCTGAATGTGACAGTTTCTTTGGATTTTAATTTATAATAGCATTTAAAAAGACCTAAACTGAGCACTCTCTAATATGAAATTAGTCAATGACTTAAAATATTCCTTTGAGTGAATTCAATGTTCATTCTTTCTGAAGAAATAACATTTAAATCTAAAACCAAGATCTTTCTGCACGTGGATCAATGTAAGGTTCATGAATCCATTTGCACTTTGCTGTTTGTAATTATATGCAACTAATACAAATGAAAATGAATTGCTTCATGACTATGTGTTGGACTTGGGGCTGAGTGTAATATACATTCATTAATTTCATTTGTGTGAAGCTGTCAGAATGATTACACTTTTATTCCTCCTTTAGACTCAGACGAAGAGATAGAGGGGTGAAGCAACTTGCCCAAGATCCACCTCAGGAAGGAGAAGTCAAAGCAGGCTAAAACCTCAGGTGGACCAGATCCCAGCGTCCTGGCTCAGAGCTGTCACATATTATTTCCTCCCACATTCCACAGCTATGATAATTTCATGCTGTGTCCAGGCTACTGACCTCAGGGAAAATCCTAAGAAGAAAATGTCTCTGACCCAGTAGGTAGGATTGAGACTGAAGGGAAGCTTAACTAAGGTGAATCTTTGTTGTATGACTTCTCCAGGTCTCAGGACCTTGCCCGTTAGCACCTCATCCATTAGAACTCTGCCCATTAGCACCTCTAATCAGCCCTCTGGGGAAGGTGAAAACTTGCTTTTGAAGTTGAATAAAATTCCTCAGAGTTCTCCCTTAGAGACTAAAAAAAGATATTCCCATTTGGACATATTTCTTTGTTGTTTCCATCTCTAGTTCACTGAAATGAAAGCGATTTAGATAGCAGAGCGCCCCTGAAGGACCCTGTCTAAGTAGCAAAGGAGATCCAAGCTCCTCTCTTCTCACCTGGTTCTAGGGATGGTTACTGAGGAACCTCAGATTCAGAGAGGTACCTGAGTGATTAAAGGATCCCCTGCCCCCCTCCCTGCAAGAGGGATTTGAGAAGTAGAGAACTTACTCAGTAAATATTCTGCTGTGTCCTGTTCATAGTCAGCATCTTCAGGGAAGTGATCAATTTTCTTGCATACTCCACGGAAAGCCCCTGTGAAAAACAGCACAGTCCTGAGCCAGGGTCGGGGACAGAGCCCCCAGCTCACAGAGCCTTTTCTTAATTATTGGAGCTGTACATAGGTGAGCCCATCAGATCTTTTCTCTAGGACACACCAGATTGAAGACAGATACTAGTAAAGATGAATAATAATCCCACAAGACTGAGATTCTTTACTTTCTAGATTGTGCATGATACTGTGATCTATTTACGTTACTCCACTCCTAATTAATCAAAAATGGGAGGAAGGAGGTGGAACTTAAGTATATGAAATTATCTTTCCATTTGACAGAAAGAACACAAGTTCCCATTTGAACAAACTGGGAATAAACATTTTACATAAAATAGGCCAATACTTAAAAGACCAAAGTTTATTAGCATTTATCCAGGGCAGAAGGGAGAAGAAAGGTGGAGGTCATTCTCTGTGGGCACTGAGTTCCTGTTAATGGTGGTGGAATAAGTTGGCAAAGAATAGCTGTGCAACATAATAATCTGTAGGACATAATGATAAATAGTATAACAATTGATAGATTGTTTTGTTAGAAATAAATCCAAAATTGGAGCTCTGGTGGCCCAGTGACAAGAAGCTGCACTGCAGTCCCAAAGGTTTGCGGTTCGAATCCATCAGTGCTGCACTGGAGAAGGAGAGGCAAACTCCTCCTGTGCCAGTTGGAGCCAATTCGACGGTACACCAAATTAAAAATTAAAACAAATACAATTTAAAAAAAAGAAATCATTCCAAAATTTTTTAAAAAACTTGCTTGAGATCGGCCACCCAGGTCAGTGCTAGGGCCAGAATTCCAAACAAGATCTGTCTGAATCCTGAGTGCAGATCTGACACCCAGGAATATAGCCCACTCTCCCCAGCAATGCTCATATCTGGTAGACAACCCCTTTTCTCTCCTTGCCCAGCATAACAGCTCATGGTCTGTCCCCTGATAAGTGACTCATCCCTTCAGGAGCCCCAGAACCACTGCCAGCGCATCTTGGCAAGGGAGGGGACTTACTGTCAGCCTTTTGCTTGTGTTTTCTTTCTTTAACATCAGCTTCCCTTAACTACTGGTTATTTGATAATCAGTATGTGTTTGTTAGCCAGTCAATTAACCAATTTCTAGATCAATTAGTGTCTATTCCAGTTCGAACAGATGACAAACAATTTGGGAAGATCTTACCAAAACATAGCACAAAATTACACATTATCGTCCTCAGCTCCACTTGGGAAAATGGCATGACAGTCCCAGGGCAGTGTGGTGTGTGGTAAGCAGACAAGTTACAGAACCAGGCAGAGCTGGGCTTGGTTTCCAGAGTAGTTGTAAGAATTTAATAAGGTCGTGTGTCTGAAGATGAGATCATTTTTGCTGAGCTCTGTTGATGACGTTGTTAGCTGTCAACTAATACCAAACCAGAATAGAACTGTGCCCCATCAACAAACAAATAGAAAACCTACGGGGGGTGTGTGTGTGTGTGTTACACACACCCCCACCCACACCCCACACCCCCACACCCCTCACACCCTCCACATCCTCCACACCTCCACACACACCCCACACAGCCCCCCACACTTGTTGTTGTTGTGCACCATCAAGTTGGAACTGACCCTGTGGTTGACCCTGTGATGGGTTTTCAGAGACAGTTAATTGCACATTCTTCTCCCAAGAAGCAGCTGGTGGCCTCGAACCATGTGCCTTTAGGACTGCAGTACAGCTTCTTGCCACTAGGTCACCAGAGCGTGCATTTGTTCTCCCTCTCCCTCTCCCTCTCCCTCTC